TCCCAAATTCCCAGAAAATAATGGAACAGAATAGATTCAATTCAATTGGAAATTGACTGCGTGGTGAATGTACTAGCATACCCGACCATGTTAAAGAAACTGCAAAGCATTTCCTGCACCGACACAGAAAAGGAAATGAAGAGAGGAACGTGTAAAATTATCAGATCAGGTTCAGAGGTTTTAAAGAAATGTATAGCAAAGTAGAGTAAAACAGTAACAACGGAACAACCTAAGTTTCCTTTTCCTAAATTCGTGCATTGTACACATAAATTGGATCTTCAATCGTGATCTACAAGTTTAACGAAATGACTAATCCTGTACATTATATGGTTCTTTAACAATGAACAAAACAACTAGTTCCAAGTTGTAACTACTTGAGTACTGATAAAACAAATATTGAATTTGAGGGAGGAAAAAAGGCCATAAAAAAGGAAGATTAAAGAGAGGGAAAGGTAGAAGACGAGCTTGAAGGAGAACTTGCGAAGATCCTTGAAGAGGGAGTAGCAGAGCACGATGAAGCCGGATCCGACGAACGAAAGACTCAATGCTCCACTGTTCACAGCCGTCGCCGATCGTGAACGGAGAGCACCGTTGCCATTTCTTCTTCTTCCTCTTCCTTAAACGAAACTCTAATTACGTGAATCTTTTGGGCAACGAACAGAAGAATTCCATCCAAAAATCAAAACTAAAAAACGAGCAGTTCGCAGCACAACATCAGCATTGGCAAGTAGATTAATCGTTTCGAGCCTTCGGCTCATTGTTAAGTTTTCTTCTCCTTTGATTTACAATTTTTTATTGGGTAAATTTACATGTAGTCCTTTATATTTTCAGTCCGTTCGATTTTGATCACAGATTAAAGAAAACTATTTTGGTCACCGATTAAAGATTCATTCAGTTTTGGTCCATCAATTGTTAACTCGCGTTAACTCATTAATTAAAGTTTGAGTTAGTAATTAAAAAAATAAATAAATAAACTCTCATGTTTTCTTCACCATAAATGTAACCAAAGCTATCAAAATAATTAAATGATGGATATCCACAATTTGTTAGTAGAACATAATATGAACGACGAAATAGGGTCCCGAAATAATAAGGATCCAAAAAAATTAGATTTATTATAATAAAAATCTCATTTTTTTTGTCTAACTCCATTTTACGAAAAATGAACCCATCTTCATGATCTCTCTATCCCACAACGTTAGGATCTGAGTTAGTAATATCACCAATCTCCTTATATACACTGCATAAGCTTTGCAATTTTTACTAAGTAAATTTGCAAGGGCCTCAGAATAGTAAGAGCCTCTTTTTAAGAATTTACACAAAACCTTCAACGTTCTAGTCCCGCTGTTCACATATATGTATTCATAATGTTCAAATAGAGAGGAAGAATAACGATGAGTCCATCTTCTAAACTTTGATAACGAAGATCAAAGGTTTTAAATCTCACTATTTCTGATATAGCATGCGAGGAGGTGGTTGTCATAAGAGAATTTGAGGGAGGGGATGGTGTTTTTACGGGAGAAAGTCCGAGGAATAATCGCCTAATTTAAGGCTAAAGAACAGTGAGAAATGGAAGGAATCGAAAATGTGATAAAAAACATAATATTTTTTGTTAGACACAACTTAAAATATTTATTTTTTCTGACGTTTTCGATCGAACATAAAATGTTTTTAAAACAGTTTCGCTTCAAAAAAATAATATTTTAAGTTACGTCTAATAGTGAATAATATGTTTTTTTTTAACACATTTTAGATTGCGTCCATTTTTTTACGGTTTCTTAGTCTTAAATTAGAAGATTCTATGATAAAACTTCTCATTTTATGGGTAGAAATTTGGGACAAAACGAAGGATTTGAGCACACGACCTGAGAGGGTAGCTTTTAAATCGCTCTGCTTTATTTATAAATTGTTAAATCAAAATGTTGTTATTAAGTTAACGTAAGTTAATGATCAAAGGATCAAAACTGAATGGACTGATAATATAAATAATTATGATTATTCCTTTTTTAATCAATTATCAAAATCAAACAGATCAAAAATATAATTTTTTATATAATTTTTTATTTTATTTAATTATGTTATCTGATTTATTAATCAATTATATAAATTAAATAATATAAAGTTTAACTATAGAGACGACCTTCACAACTAAAGATGCTCAGTTAGTTAATTTTGTCGTTTTTTTAATTAACTAAAATTTGTTACAAGTTTCATTTAGTTAGAGTAATTTAAGTATTTTTTAAGGACTAATACAAAAATAAGTGCATGAACTATACCTATAATTAACTTTTTGTGTCTAAAGAATTTTTGTTAAAAATAGGTGCCTAATATTTTCTCCATTACACTTTTAAGTGTCTACCGTTAAAAAACCATTAAGTAAAACGTGTCATGTTTTATTTTTTTTTTTTTTAAAAAATAAAATATTATTTTATTTTTAAAAAATCTAAACATAACATGTATCACTTAATAATTTCTTTAAAAGCGGACACCTAAAAGTGTAACGGAAAAAACATTAGGCACATATTTTTAACGAAAAATTCTTGAGACACCAAAAGTCAATTTTGAATATAGTTTGACATTTATTTTTATATTAAGCTTTCTTTTACTCGGGGTTAAATTTTGATTGTATGTTAAGATTTTAATGGATCTATTATTAATTGAGTCTTGATTCTTAATGTATATACTCTTAAAATTTAAGCGTAATGTAAAAAATGCGTTAACTAAATAGTCACTTTGACCTTTTTTATTCTTAGAATATTTTGGCCTTAATATTTTATTTTGAGACGAAAAAGATCCTTCGATAGGTGAAAACTGTTAGTTAATAAATAGTTAAAAGTCTAAAATATGATATTTTTGCATCAAAATAAAACATTGGCAACCAAAATGCTTAAAAAGAGGATATATATTAAACTTAATGGGACTATTTAGTCGAATGTTAGAAATATTTTTTTAGTGTTATGCATAAAAATTAACTCACATTTTTTTCATACGAGTTAAATTTTAAGTACAACACATTAAGAACCAAGACTCGATTATTTTTAACCATAGTAAACTCGTTAAATTTTTGAAGACCCAATCAAATTTTAACACAAATAAAATAAACTTAAATCAAATTAAATTAAATTATTCTAAATAAAAAAACTTGTAACAAATTTTAATTAATCCAAAAATGATTAACTAGATTTTATTCGACTAATAATTATAAAACAATTTACAAAACATTTAAAAGCTCAATTAATTTAATTTACCATCGACCGATTGCACACTCTTACATAAAAACATTTTCAGTAAAATATTACTAAATGAGATGAAGTTTATTAGTTTTGGTAACACATTTTTACAATACTTTTTACAATAATGAATTATCTTTGTTTGCTTTGTATTTTTAATAGTGACACGTGTCACCACTTGATTGGAGAGTTTTCTTTAATTAATTTTAATATTTAATTCAGTTAATTTTCCACAAACTAGGTGGTGACTAGGGATGACAATTTATTAACCCGAATCCGATTGGTTTCAATCTAACTCGACCTAATAGGATTTTTTAAGAAAAATTTCAGGTTTAGGTCGAGTTAGATTCAGGTGAAGGGTGAAAAAACTTCGATCCGAATCAAAGATAATAATGTAATTTTTTTTGGAAATATTATTTTTTAATTAAGTCCTTATTTTATACTGGATTGGGTAAAATTTATACTCTAAATTTTTGGGCCCGGTGGAGGATACATATTTTCCAATCGGATCGGGTCAAATTTATACTCTAAATTTTCGAGTCGGATGGAGGATACATATTTTCAAATTGAATCGGATCAAATTTGTTTTCTAAAATTTTGGGTCGAGTGGAGGATACATATTTTTCATGTTGGATCATGTTGATAAAAAACCCGAACCCATTGTCATCCTTGCTAGTGACACCACCAGTTTAAAGAGCAAATAAATGAGTTATGAGAAATGAAACCAAAGAACTCAAGCATGGATGGCCAGGACTCTACCACTAAGTTTAACTCAATATTTGATTTTAAGTTATATAATATTTTATTTATCTATTTTAAATTATGATATAAAAAATTATTAAAACAAATCTAATAAATAAATTATATAATATTTATTAAATTATAATTAATGCAATATTTAAAAATAAAAAAATTAAGAGTTTTATACTTCTGAATTAAATTATTTTTCGTAATTATTTTAAAATGATCCAAACTAACGGGTACGAAGATTTAATAGGTACCCAAATTTTATGAGTCGAGATATTTATCTAATAATAATTTAGATTTTTATAAATTTAAACATTAAATATATTATATTTTTATTATTTAATTTTAAATTTAAATACTTAATAACTTTTTTTATATTTTTTAAGTATTCGATTCACTCAGAACAATTCTTATAAAAAAATAATAGTGTACGGAAGTAAACCGACGAGATTAGTCCAAGTGGTAAACAATTTAATATCGTTTAAGTAAATCTTGAGTTCGAGTACTTGTGTATGCATAAAATTTTCACCGAGAGGTTCATTCACCGAAATCAGGTGCGCGACACGGATCGTTCTAGATTAATCAGGGTAAATCCGTGATCTTGGAGGAAAAAAATAGTATACGGAAGGGAGAATTGTCTCGTTTCCCACGAGTGGTTAATGAACTTGTAGCCTATTCTCTATACCGAGTTAAAACAAGCATCTTCATCATTCCCCACCTCCTTGCACCACAAGAAACTTCGTGGACAGCTCCAAAAAACACAGTAACACCAGACGGAATTATCTCAGAAGCCCATCTCTTTGTCGTCTACTCGTCCCCTCCATTATACACACGTAAAATAAAGCCTATTTATTTATCCATTCCCAGTCTTTTTCTCCGCCATTGCTACATTGCATTGGACCTTTCTTCCTCCTCAAGCTTTCCTAGACTCAGGTAAACAAACACTAGGCCTGTGTTTTTTGTTTAAAGCAACACACATCACTGATTTTGTCTCATTCTTGCTCAATGCTCACGCAGGATAGTACCTTGTAATCATCAATGGGGGATAAGTTTGTTTTACTGGTGATGTACATGTGTTTACTGGCATCTTCGTTCTCCATGAGCATGGTTATGGCTTCTTCCTCGAATGGTGTGGTGAGACTCGGTCTGAAGAAACAGCGGTTGAGGTTTAACGCCATGCATGCTGCTGCTAGAAGTTACCGTGTAGATGCTAAGGCTGACTCAGATGATTCAGGGATGAACATTGTTTACCTGAAGAACTATTTGGATGTTCAGCATTTTGGAGAGATTGGAATCGGTTCCCCACCGCAGAATTTCACTGTCATATTCGATACCGGCAGCTCCAACCTCTGGATTCCTTCTTCCCATTGTCACTTCTCCGTCAGTCTATTAGTTTCTCAACTTCGAAACATTTCGATTCGAAATATTAATTATCGTATCGTTTAGGTTCTTCCGTCGATTTAAGATTTGGACCTTAGTTTGAGTACTGTCGGGTCTAAATAATATTGGAAAATTTTCTTCTTTTTATCATGCAGGTTGCTTGCTTTTTCCACTCTAGATACTGCTCTAGCAACTCCAGTACATATACAGAGATTGGTAATGTTTTTGGAGTGTAATTTTGTCACGACTATCGGCATTCAACCGACCCCACACGTAATGAGGCCGGGAGTTGGTCAAATGGTGATGGACTGTGACATAAAGAACTGATTTCTCATTGATTTTGATCCAGGGAAGCCCTGCAAGATCAACTATGGCTCTGGAATGATTCTGGGGTTTTTCAGTGAAGACAACATAAAAGTTGGGGACCTTGTTGTCAAAAATCAAGTATTTACAGAAGCTGTGAGGGAAGGAAGTGCAATTCTCACTTTGGCTAGCTTTGATGGGATACTTGGACTTGGTTTTCAGGACATTTCTGTAGGGAATGTTGCACCACTTTGGTATGCTTCATTGGCTAGCCAAATGATCCACCTTTAACATTCTTATTCGTCGTGTTTTCAACGCTTTTGATGCAGGCATAGTATGCTGCAACAAAGCCTACTTGCTGAAAAGGTATTCTCTTTCTGGTTCAACAAAGATCCGTCGGTAAACGAGGGCGGCGAGATCGTGTTCGGTGGCATCGATCCTCGGCACTTCAAGGGAAATCATACTTATGTTCCGGTCGTTCGGAGGGGTTATTGGCAGGTGCACTTCCTCTCTTCACTTATTTGCATATCAATTCTGTATGAAATTTTCACTGATAAATGTTGTCCTCGCCTAGATTGAACTGGAAGATTTTTTAATTGCAGACCAACCTGCAGGTAACGGCAACGCTACTGTATGCTCTACTTTTATCATGGCTTGTTCTTTCTCTTTCGTGTAACGGCTTAGTAATCGATAATATCTTAATCTTAATCAACATCACAGGTTTTTGCATCAACTGCACTGCAATATTGGATTCCGGGACATCCTTCATTGCCGGACCCTCGGTAAGGGCAGCTATCTACTAATATGCATGGTTACTTGTTTCACAAGCTATCTTAACAAGATCGTCCGACTTTAAGGCTGCCGTGACGAAAATCAACGAAGCTATCGGAGCGAAAGGATTCGCAAGCCTGGAATGCAAAAAAGAAGTTTCTCAATATGGAGATATCATATGGCAGCTCTTGTTATCTGGGTTACAGCCCGACAGATTATGTTCCGATATCGGTGTATGTTCCTTCAACAGATCTCGTGCTCTAAGGTTAGCTTTTTTCTTTCATCGATCCGTATACCGATTACAAAACCAGAACAAACACAAAGATATATGGATCATCCCTGCAGTGACGATATCGAAATGGTGGTACAACGAAAGAGACAGAAGCGCAACGACACCAGAGTCGGGCAGGACCTTCTATGCGCTGCTTGTGAGTTAACCGTAGCATGGATACGGACCGAGCTCAAGCAAGATAAAACACAAGGACAAGTAATCGAATATGTTAACAAGGTCCTCTACCAAATCCCTATGCCCCCTCTTCCATTAGTACTTTAAGAATTTCTGCTTCAGACTAACAAATTTTAATCAACTCTCTGCTGAAGTTGTGTGACACCCTGCCAAATCCAACAACACAGCTAGCTGTCAATTGTGCCGAGATACCAACCATGCCTACCGTTTCATTCGTCATCGGGAATAAGTCCTTCGACCTCGGTCCGCAACAGGTACGAATACGATACCTTCAGTTTGCGAGTGCAAAATTGAACTTCCTCTGCTGACCATCGTCATGATTTCTGTGATCGAATCAGTACATCCTTAAAGTGGAACAAGATCACGTTACGTTCTGCATCAGCGGTTTTATCGCGTTGGATGTTCCGGTTTCGCCTCCCCAGGGACCTCTCTGGTAACTGCTCATGCCTTGTTCCTATACACAGCTCTCATGCATATTTGTTATAGTATTTTTCTCTCTTTTTTTCTTCCTGCATTTGTAGGATTCTTGGGGAAATCTTCATGGAAGCATACCATACGGTGTTCGATTTCGGTAATCTACGAGTCGGATTTGCAGAAGCTGCTTAGGATCGGTTGAAGGAGATGACTAGATGAGCAATGCTATCTGCAAGAAAAATGCTTGCTTTGCTTTGTTATACTAACAATGTTGTGTTATTGTACTCAAAATATGCTGCATTATGATCTGAATTTTGTTTGATTCGGCTCCAAAAATTTATGGTATAATTTGTTTGATGAAAAAGTAGAAGGGCAAATTATACTTGTGACCACTCAACTATGAAAGGTTTCAATTTGACCATCTATCTTTCAATCTTGTTAATCAGACCACTCAACTATTTAAATAGTGTCAATCAAGTCACATGTCGTTAACATTTGGTAGATGAGTTGATGCGAAAGCTAACAAAATCAATATAATCATACATTTAATCTTTATTACTTACACATTCTATCAATTTAATTAGGACAATTTTGATAAAATATGTAGGTAATAAAGACTAAATATGTAATTATATAAATTTTTGTATCTCTCTTCAAAAGATTATAAAAAAGGTAATGATCTATTATAATTTGGACTTGCTTTAACATTAAATAATTCTTGTTATAAAACCATTATCTCTCTTCAAAGATAAAAAAAAGTAATGATCTATTATTAATTCTATTAGAGTGTACGAATCAACTTATCTTCATGGTTAAATGAGTCGTTGTTGTTTCTAGAGGTCACATGTTTGAGCACCAGCAACTGTAGCAGGATGATTGAGCGTTCATTGTCAAATGATTGAACGTTCATTGTCAAATGATTGAGAGTATATAAAACATTTGTGATCACCTTAGCTTAATAAAAAAAATTCTATTAGAGTGGTTTTTTTATCTATTCGATTTTATGTCAAATATTTTGGTAAATAAAATAAACATGATAAATAATTATGATGAACACCTAAATTACTCATTTGATACCTAAACTATTAGTTTTGGTTTATTTTAGTACTTAAACTTTCAATTTTTTCAAAATCATATTTAATGTTTAGTTTTTGTTTCATTATAGTACTATGCCGTTAAAAATTTAACAGAACTTTTGTGATATTTTTATGGGTAAATTACATAATTCATCACTTAACTATCTTCTCACTCCTATTTCAATCATTGAAGTTTATTTTTTTTAATTTAACTACTCAACTTTCAAATTGCTCATGTCTTCATATATTGCGACATAATATTTTTTTATTAATATATAATTAAAAAAATTAAATTTGAAAGTTTGAGTCATTAAATTAGGAGTAATTTGAAAGTTAAGAAATTAAATTAAAAAAATTAATGACCAAAATAGGAGCGAGAAGATAATTGAGTGATGAATGATGTAATTTACCCATAAAAGTTTCAAGTTGTAAAAGTTCCACTAAGTTTTTAGCAACGAGATAGTAAAATGAAATAAAAACTAAACATTATGTATGATTTCAAAAAAATTAAAAGTTTAAGTACTAAAACAAATCAAAATTAATATTTTAGGTACTATACACATAATTTACCCATTTATTAAACATGTTACTAGTATTTTTTAAAAGAGTAAACTACATCGTTTCTCACTGAATTTTACTCTCTCTCCTATTTTATTAATTGAACTTTACTCTCTCTCTCATAATTACACCATTCATAATTGAACTTTACTCTCTCTCATATTTTGCTCACCCAACTATAAAATAAAAACAGAAGGTGACTGGATGTCACCACCGATCATCATAAATGGTGGCTGTTTGGTCCAAAATTTCATTGGTCGCTCCACCTTGACACCTTGAGTCTGAATCCAACCTCCATTTTGTCGGAACTTGCTCTGAAGTCCACAACTTAAAGGTTGAAAGTGAGGAAGTCAAAATATTTCAGTCGAAATTCATGGAGTTTGAGACGTTTTCCAATGTAACAACCACTAGATTCAGACTCATGAGGTTGAGACAAACCACCCTATGAACTTTGAGACAGAACAACCACCATCAACGATGATATATGGTGGGCAGAATGAAAAATGACGTGGTAGCCGGAAGCGACAATCGATCACCTTATTTGTAAAATAGAGAGAAAATGAGAGGGAGAAGAGATTCAAAACAGTTTTGGTGTATATTTGAGTTTTTTCATAAAAGACGATGTTTTGATGCTTATAAATCAATATCGTTTTCTCTTTCTTTTTCTTCTACAATCTGAAAAAAAAACACAGATCTTCACAGTCCAAACTTGTTGGAACTGCTAATTAGCATTAGAGAGTCGCAAATTCGTAGAAGTTGCCAGTTAATTCCATTAACCCACCCACTGTGTTCTTCAACAATCAACACCAATTGCAAAATAAACAGAAAAAGGAACTCTGGGTAGAGGACAATCGAATCCCTGTCATGGCTATAACTTAAAGAAGATCAACACATTCAAATCCAAGCTTCAACGTCAAAAAACACACCCCTTTGCTCTTTCATGTTGCTTCACCCTGTGATCGGAAACTACGTGGTAGCTTCGCAAACATAGTAATCGAGATCGTCTCCATGAAATTCGAAAACCCATCATCCATCAATGAGCAGCAATACCCTTTGAAGCTACTCATCTTCTCCCAAAGCTACTTAAAGATGAAGCAACACTGGTTTTCTCATCACTTTACTCCAAGATCAACCACAGGTATGTACGTAATGTATGTATGTTATCTTTCACCATCATCAACATCGTTTTTGTTATGTGAGTTATACTCATCTTTGCTTTCTCCTTGGTTTATTAAGGATGGGGATTAAGTTTCTTTTGCCTGCAATCTGTGTATTCACTTGGATAAACTAATGGGTAGTATTCACTAAGTCATCTGATGGGCTAGCTCGGGTCACCCTTAAAAAGCAGCCTCTTGATCTTAAAAGATTGAATGCTGCGAGGATAACCCAAGAAGGGCTTGATAGCAATGTGAATGACCAGGAAGCTGGTGTAATATACCTAAAGAACTATCTTGATATCCAATATTATGGTGAAATTGGCATTGGTTCCCCTTCTCAGAGATTTTCCGTCGTTTTCGACACGGCTAGCTCGAATCTTTGGGTGCCATCTTCGAAATGTCTTTTCTCTGTAAGTATCCTCAAAGCACTTGAATTCAAATTCAGAGTGATGAACATTTGTTGAAGCCATGGGAACTACATTGTGAAATTGCAGATTCCTTGTCATTTACATTCGAGGTTTCGAGCTTCGTCGTTGAGTACTTATACCAAGATTGGTAATTTTGTTGCCTGCATTGTGTTTAATAATTGGTTTGTTTCTCTGCAGTTGTTGAATGTATACCTTTTCTTAACATCTTTTCGAAACATTCTTCTGATTCTTTCAGGGATACCTTGCACAATCAGCTATGGGGCTGGAGCTATTTCTGGCTTCTTTGGCCTGGATCATGTTAGAGTTGGAGATATTGTTGTTGAAGATCAAGTGAGTTTTTATTTTTATATATGAAATATTATGCTTTACAGAATTGTGTTTCATAAAATTTATGTTATGGCAAATACAATTCTTCAGGAGTTCATAGAGATTACCAAGGAACCTTTTCTACCGTTCCTTATTGCGAAATATGATGGGATTCTTGGACTTGGGTTCCAGGATATTTCTGTGGAACGAGCTAATCCTCTGTGGTATAATTTTTTCTTCTAATGTATATGTATATGTATATGTATATGTATATGTATATGTATGTATATGTATGTATATATATGTACATGTACATACATGTATAATATATAAGGTCAGTGTTAGCAATGGATTTTTTCATAGCTCATAGAACTCTATACTCAGGATGAACATGGTGCACCTAGGTCACATTGACCACAAACTTTTCTCCCTCTGGCTAAGTTGAGATTTTACGTCAGAGTTCGGAGGAGAAATTGTGTTTGGAGGCCTTGACTGGAGGCACTTCAGAGGTGACCACACTTACATCCCGGTCGCATAAACCTGTTATTGGGAGATCTGCTCTTCATTTGTTTTTATACTCCTCTGCTCATTGCTTCCTCCCATGACGAAGTTTGATGTTTAAACAAACATTCATTCATCATTCCAGATTTTGGTGGGAGATGTATTTGGTGGGAGATGTAAGCTTGGAATGAAAGAGCGTTGTTTCCAAGTATGGATATGCTTTATGGGACAACTTGATATCTGGGGTTAGTTTTCTTCTTCCATTTATTCTCAATTAGTTTTTTAGAATACCAACTCTTGATTTCCATAAAGATGTATATCAGTTCCTGCAGATACGCCCCGAAATTGTGTGTGTAGATGTTGGGTTATGTTCATATAACGGATCACAGCGAGCGAGGTAACAACACTGATATTATTACAGTTAATATTACTTGGGTAAAGTGGGGTTTGGTTTTATGTTGGGTTGGTTCAAGGAGGAGCACTCAGCTCAATCGATCCTTGCAGAGACGGGATGAAGATGGTGGTCGAAAACGGAACCATGGAAGGATCAGCACTGGGCGAGGCTCTGATGTGTACTTTCTGTGAGATGATTGTTTTCTGGATTCAAGTTCAGCTCAAGCAACAAAAGACGAAGGATATGGTATTCCAACACATTAATCAGGTGATTCTTCCTGCAGATAGAATAAATACATGCATACATACATACATACATAGATGTGGAGATGAACTAACAGAATCTTTTCCGTTATGTCGAAGCTATGCGAAACTCTTCCAAACCCAATTGGAAAATCATCCGTTAACTGCGATTACCTCGAACTTCTCCCGGACATTACATTCACCATCGGATGCATATGATCACTTGTTAGATATATTCTTCCATGCAAGTAATGCTTTTTGGTTCGAACATGTTCTTTCGAGTCCGGTTCTGAGCTCCACCGAGCGTTCGGGCTTATCGGGATGTGTTAATGAGGCGGTACAACCGAACCTATATTACATTTATAGATTAAGAAACACAATGCAGTTGTTGTCCAAGGATATATAAGAACAATACAAGTGATCTTTTACTGGTTGTTGAGTTTATTACAGCAAATATAGAATACTCATAGCTTGGCATACTTCTTGAGATTTTCTCCGGCATCCTTAGCGTGCTCCGGCACCGGCAAGTTGCAAATAAGAGTGACCCTCGATGATGATACCAAGGATCTGTTACTGCTCTCTGAGGTTGGATTTGAGG